CCTTGGAGAAATGGCTGATTTTAGAAACTGGAGCTGGAAATACACAAGATGAACCTGGAGTATTTTGTAGTACCCCAAAGTAAGAAAGTGCTAAAAAAAAAAAAAAAGTGTAAAGAGGGTATGTCAGGCCAGGGTGCAGTGACTCACACCTGTAATCCCAGCACCTTGGGAGGCCAAAGCAAGAGGACTGCTTGAGGCCAAGAGTTCAAGATTAGCCTGGGCAACATAGCAAGACCCTATCTCTGCAAAAATATTTATTTAAACAGGCCAAGTGTGGTGGTGTGCACCTGTAGTCCTAGTTACTCAAGAGGCAGAGGCAGGAGGATCACTTGAGCCCAGGAGTTCAAGGTTACAGTGAGCTATGATCATGCCACTGCACCCCAGCCTGGGTGATAGAGCAGACTCTGTCTCAAAAAAAAAAAAAAAAAGTATGTCAATGAGACACAGGAGCCAACTGGAAGAGCTCCCAATGGCCAAAGCTGGAACAACTTAATTGACAAAAGAAATAAAGTAGTATTAGATTATAACCCAAAGCATAATATAAATATGCATGGATCCATATTGTTACACATAAATGATTAAATAAATGAGAGAGAAGAGATAAATCTGTGCAGAAGAATTCCAAATAACTTATACTCTGCCCTAAGGGAGATGGATCATAACTCCCTACTACTTAGGTGTGACTGTACATTGTGAAGTCTTCCAAAGAGTAAAGTATGGAAAGTCATAAAAAAAAAAAAGAAAAAATGAACTTTACAGTGAAGAAACCTGATCAACAGTACTTCAAAAAGGTGATCAAGTTTAGTATTGGCTGGGCATGGTGGCTCACACCTGTAATCTTAGCACTCTGGGAGGCCGAGGTGGGAGGATCGCTCAAGGTCTGGAGTTTGAGACCAGCCTGAGCAAGAGCAAGACCCTATCTCCACTAAAAATAGAAAGAAATTAATTGGCCAACCTAAAAATATATAGAAAAAATTAGCCTGGCATGGTGGTGCATACCTGTAGTCCCAGCTACTTGGGAGGCTGAGGAAGGAGGATCGTTTGAGCCCAGGAGTTTGAGGTTGCTGTGAGCTAGGCTGATGCCATGGCACTCTAGCCTGGGCAACAAAGTGAGACTCTGACACTATTTTTGTGAGAGTGCAGGGAAGTAGGCACTTTCATGCATTGTTGGTGAAAGTATAAATTGATACAACTCATGGAGAGAAATTTGAAAATACATATCAAAATTGTAAAGGTTTATGCATGCTGTTTGACCCAGAATTACTATATCTAAAAACTTATCCTACTTGGGGATATACAAATTGTATGTACAATGTTATTCGCTGACATTATTTATAATGGCTGGATGTTGGCAATTGGCAAAAGAGTATTTTGTCCCACCACAGGGGGCTGGTTAAATAAACAATGTGTCACATCCACAAAATAAAATACTGTGTGGACACAGTGAAACAAGAAGCAAGCTTTGTACTATTCAAAGTTACATTGTTGTGATTTTTTTTTTTTTAGACACAGGGTCTTGCTCTGTCGCCCAGGCTGGAATGTAGTGGCACCACCACAGGCCTCTGCAGCCTCAAATTCCTAGGCTCAAGCTATTCTCCTGCATCAGCCTCCTGTGTAGCTAGGACTATAGGTGTACACCACCACGCCTGGCTAATTTTTTGTAGAGACCGGGGTCTCACTAAATTGCCCAGACTGGTCTCAAACTCCTGGCCTCAAGCTATCCTCCTGCCTCAGTCTCCCGAAGTTTTGGGATTACAGGTGTGAACTGCAATGCTGGGCCTCAAAGTTACATTATTAAGACAAAACAATATGCAAAACAATGTATATATTATGCTACCACTTGTGTAAAAAATATGATTCAATTATCTCTGAAAGTATATGGGAGAAACTGGTGACCTACGTTACTATCTGGAAGAGAACTGAGTGGCTGGGGGGAGGGTGGAAAAGAGCTTTGTCACTACATGCCTTTTGATAACTTTTGAATTTTTTTCTTTGAGATAGGGGACTTGCTATTTTGCCCAGGCTGGTCTGGAACTCCTGGGCTCCAGAGATCCTGCTGTCTCAGCATCCTGAGTAGCTGAGATTATAGTTGTATGCCACCACACACAGTTGAATCTGAACCATATGAATTTTACTCATTCAAAAGAAATAAAATTTTAGCATCTGGCTGGGCATGGTGGCTCACGCCTGTAATCCTTGCACTCTCAGATGCCGAGGTGGGCGGATCGTTTGAGCTCAGGAGTTGGAGACCAACCTTGAGCAAGAGTGAGACCCCCATCTCTACTTAAAAAAATAAAAAATAGGCCGGGCACAGTGGCTCACGCCTGTAATCCTAGCACTCTGGGAGGCCAAGGCGGGTGGATTGCTCAAGGTCAGAGGTTCAAAACAGCCTGAGCAAGAAGCAGACCCTGCTCTACTATAAAATAGAAAAGAATTAATTGGACAACTAATATATATAGAAAAAAATAAGGCCGGGCATGGTGGACATGCCCGTAGTTCCAGCTACTTGGAGGTTGAGGCCAGCAGGATTGCTTGAGCCCAGGAGTTGAGTTGCCCTGTGAGCTAGGCCTGATGCCATGGGCACTCACTTAGCCTGGCAACAAAGTGGAGACTCTGTCTCAAAAAAATAATAAATAAATAAAAATAAAATTTAACTTCTATAATAATTAAAATATAAAATTATTTTATCCAGTTCAATGGGATTTAAAGAGATCTTTAAAATCAATTTTATTATTAAGGAAATAATAGTTTATGTATCTTTCAATGCATAGCATATTTTATGTTCTTCAATAAGAAGTTAGAGGCAGCTGGCTACCAGTGGTCCATCACCTGTATCCATACTTATGTTGTGCGTGCTGGCCGGATGGTCGACAATACCGCTGGCTGATGAATCCCCGTCCATAAATAGAAAGATAAATTGCGACTAATTATATAGAAATTAAGCGAGGATGGTGGCAACATCCCCTGATGTCCAACTACTTGGGGGTGAGGCAGCAAGGATTGCTTGCAGCCAGGGATTTGAGTTCTGTGCAGTAGGGCTTGACGCCGCGCGCCACTCACTCGGTAGCCTGCCAACAACTTGTTTTTTTTTTTTTTTTCAATAAACACAGAGACTCTGTCTCAAAAAAAAAAAAAGAAGTTAGAGGCCTGGGGGTGGTGGTCACGCCTTGTAATCCTAGCACTCTGGAGGGCAAAGAGGGCGGTGGATCACTCCAGGTCAGGGAATTCGAGGATCAGTCTTTGAAACAAGAGCCCAAGACCCGTCTCTACTAAAAATAAGAAAGAACTTATTGCAAACTAAATATATAGAGCCAACTCTAGCCAGGCCCAACAGAAGTGAGACTGTCTCAAAAAAAAAAAAAGAGAATGTTCTTTTTTTTTTTTTTTTGCAGGACAAGTTTCACTTTTGCCTGCCCAGACTAGAGCTGGAGGTGCCGGGGTGGTGTCAGCCTAGCTCACAGCAACCTCACACTCCTGCGGGCTCAAGCCATCATTCTACCTCAGCCAGTAGCCCTGGGACTACAGGCACGCAACCACCATGGCCCAGGCTAATTGTTTGTAGTATATATTGTTAGCTTCGCAATTAATTGCTTTCTATTTTTAGTAAGCACGGGGTTCACTCAGGGTGCGTTTGTTGCAACTCGCCTTGACCTCGAGCAATCCCGCCGCCTCAGCCTCCCAGAGCTGCCCTAGCATTACAAGCGTGAGCCACCACGCCGCGACTAGAATGTCTTGCATCGATAAATCCTGGTATAGTATGCTCTATGGTTCCCATTCATTCTAGAATTTTAAATTTTTGTCAGTTTTGTGAATAGAATATGTTTCCATCTACTATCTACGGTATTTGGCTAAATTAAGAAGTCTTTTATCTATCAGAGCTAATTTCCACCACCCATAATACGTGTATTACTGGAGGAATACTATTGTCTTATTAGGTTTCATGTGAGCTATGAGTTCATCTTGTGCCCCTGTTTAGGTGGGTGTCGTTTGGCTTTGTGGGCGGACCATCAGCCTAGCTCACAGCCAACCTCACGTCTCCTGGGCTCAAGTGATCTTCCTGCCTCAGCTCCCCGAGTAGCTGGGACTACAGGCATGCGTCATCAGCTTAATTTTTTGTATATGTATTTTTAGTGGTCAATAATTTCTTCTATTTTTTAGTTAGAGACGGGGGTCTCACTCAGGCTGGTTGTCGAACTCCTGACTCAAGTGATCCGCCCACCTTCGGCTGCCTCCAGAGCTCTAGGATTACAGGCGTGAGTCCCACGCCTATCTAGGTTTTCTATTGAATATAATAAAAAGTAGGACAATTTTTTTATTTGTTTTTATTTTCTTGTTCGTTTGTTTGTTTTGCTAGGTTTGTCCCAATTCATTTCTGTATTTACAAGCAGAATTTTCATATTTACATAAGCACATCTATCAGTGAAGGCTTAACATTGAATGCAATCTAACATCCATACTATCTGATGTTTTGCAGACAGCAACGTAGGAAATACAATTTTAATCACCTTTCTTTCATTGAGTGACCTTACATAAAAAATAAACTAATACTTAGAAGTTCTAGTCTCCAACGACACTTTCAAAGTACATATAGAAATGGTTACAGTGAGATTTTTAAGAAACTCTTTCCATTCCACATCCTTGTAA